CGAAAAAATCACGTTCCAACGAACTCGATGTAATGAAATGTCAACAAAAACAATATGAGAAGATACGTGAACAAGAAAATTATACAATTGATGAATGTTTTAAACAACAATACTGCGAGTCAAATATTATTCCGACAGCAAATAATAAGTCACAAGGTAGAATAGTAATTTAATACTAAACGTTAACGATTAATAAATAAAATAAAAACACTTTAATAACATTTTAGACGAAAAACTAGCCAATTACTGTGAAAATGTAACGAAAAGTTTTGATCATAAAATAAATCTTGAGGCAGTAGAAAATAAGGGGCTAGTTTCGGCACAACAAAACCCTATTGAACAACAACTAAAAAAGGATACAACGAAAAAGATAAAAAAATCCAAGAAAAAAGTTGTGGCCAAAAAGGAACCAGCAAAGCCGGAATTTAAGTACAACTTACCATGTGATAGTTGCAATGATGAAAATTGTTATTACAATAGGACTGCACCTCGATGTCCAGAAGAGTGGGAAATATTATTCAAACAACTCATGAAACGCCACAAGTATATTTTAAGAAGAAGATAAGTCGGTTGTATCTTTTTTTCTCCCAAAAACAGTATATTATTTTTAAAAGTAACACTAAATAATTTTCAGTCACAAAAGGTTGAAGTGGGGTATTTTTAAATTGTTGGGGACTATTAAAATACATGGTTTTTACAATTATTGAATTTATCCCTTTTATCGTACGCATGTGCAATACAACTCGCATTTTCTTAAAAAACAATACCTACTTTTAACAACATACTTGGATAAATTGAACTGTCAAATTGTTTAAATTAATTTGGTCGTCATTATCATAGCTCTAAAACCAAAATTAGCTGAATGATAACGAGTTAAACTTTCGATTAATATTATTTAATTTTTCAACAATCATCCTAGAATTTTAAGTATTTCTATGCGATTTCTTGTTTTTTTATATATTTGTATTTATGTATTTTTATTATCAAATCGTTTATATTTAATTTTGAGGAATCAATTAACTTCAATTACACCTTTAATGTAAAATTTAGTTAATTTAGGGAGAAAAAAAAATTAAACATTATGTATTTTATTTAAATAAATAACAGAAATTATCAAAATAATGAAAATTGTGATAATTTGCTTTATTTTTTCTTAGTAAATGAACTAACATATACATTAAAAACGTGATTGAAGTTAATTGATTCCTTAAAATGAAATTTAAATGATTTAATAATGTTTGCAAATCTACAAAAACAAAAACACGATGTTGCATAATAGTTCATAAAATACTAGGATCATAATTGAAAAATTTTACTTGTTATCATTCAGTAAATTTTGGTTATACAGCTATTGTAAAAAAAACTAATTTATCCAAATTTGTTGTTGAAAGTAGGTGCTCGTATTTAAGAAAAATGCAAGTATTGTTTATGTGCAAAATAAAAGGTTTAAAAATTTGAAAATTATAAAAAAAAAAAAGTGTATTTCAATAGTCCTTATCTATTTAAAAATAAACTCACTTTAATCCACTGTAACTTATTTAGTGTTAACTTTAAAAGGAATCAAACTGTATAGTGTATTTTATTATATGATTTTAATATCATATATTTTTATGCACTAAGGACTTTATAATATAATACTTATTTTCGAAAAATTCAAATTTTTTAAAAAATTTTCCACGCGTGTTAAGGAGAATTTACTCCCTTTACGAGTTCATAATTGAATTAGATTAATATTTTTTAGCAACTATGTCATATAGTGTGTACACGCTAAGAGGTATCACTAAATACTTCGGTTCGATGACCGAAGTGAAGACCCTCAGGTCATCGAACTAAAATATTTAGTGGTACCTCTTAGCGTAAACATACTGTATATGTGTAACAAAATTGTACAGTTAGATTAATCGTTCGAAGACAGGGGCGGATTGGCAATTATTTTCGGCCCAAGAAATATGAAACAAACTGGCCCACGAACCACAAATTATGCTATTCCCCCCCCCCTCTCTCCCAAAAAAATGCTTTGTTTTGCATCAATTTCGAAATTTGTTTAGTTTCTAAATTAGTAAAATCTACAATAACTTTACTATAATTATAGCTATAATAGTTTTGGGTAAGTCACATGATTAATCAGTTCTAGCTTGAACTTGAAGTTTGATCTTAATGTATCTTTAATTATATATTTATTTTTTTAATAATTTTTATTTATTCAACAAAATAAAACTGTTTTTTGATGATTATATAATAATATAGAGCGGCCCAAATAAGGACCGGCCCATCGGCAAGATTCCCGATTTCCCGATAGGCCAATCCACCCCTGTTAGAAGATAATTGTTCACCGAAATGATTTATTTCGGAAATTTATTTATACTCCAGACATGATCGTTTTTTTTTCAATATACAATCTGATTGCAACGCAAAACAACGTGTTCTTTTTTAACATACATATTGTTATAACAATTATATATTGTTGTGTTGGGGTATTTAATTTGTTCATATTTAATAGCAACGATCTATCATAGAGTTAAAAAATAATTTTGCTGTACAATATTTAAATATTATGTATAATACATATTAAAATAGTGAGGTACCATACGCAGGGTCAGTGAGAGAGTGGGTTAGAGAAGGCTAGAGCCCCGAGGCCTGTAACTCTAAAAGGGTTCTTCGTCTCAGCTGTTTATATAATATAATTTTATAAAATTCGCCATAGTATAGATGCAAATTTTAATATTTTTTTGTACTAGAGTATATACAAGTATGTACAAGTATCATGCATATCTTGACGAAACAAGTGTAAGTAAAAGGGGTCTGGAACCGATCAGCCCCTTAGGCTTCAAGAGTTCTCGCCAACTCTGGCCGTACTTAAAACGTAATATAAATTCGTATTTTCATATCTTATCATGCTTCAAAAACTAACTTTTTATATATATCTCCATAAGATTGCATTACAGCTGTTTTATGAATATTTAAATGTATAGCAAATAAAAACCTAGTAATTGATTTCGTAATGTAGTTTATAGGAGAAGATACAAGTATGTTGATCGGTAATTGGAAAATATTATTGCTCAACACTATGTAAAAAGAAAAATCTATGCTTTAAAATGTTTTGAGTAAATTTTAATTTTCTCTTCAACTTTTTTCATTGTAATAAATAAATACGAAATAAATTTGAATTAAATGACTTTAATGACGATGATGTCGTCGGTATCGAATGTAATTCTGTAACTGGTTGTTCCTCAAAAGAATTATTAAAAATATCATTACTTGATTTATCACTTGGTTCACCATCTTCATTATAAACCTTACAGGTTTGATTTTGCTCATCTTGACCATCTTGTTTAGAATTATTATTACCCTCTTTTTAATATTAAAAATACTAAACATCATCAATTATGAAACTACTCATTAAGACACTAGGTATATTCATAAATTACATTAAAAGTTATAAAAGTTCAACTGAGTATATGTTAATACGCTGAGTGCCACAGTATTTATGATGGGTATATCCTATATAGTTAGTTTCCATGCTAAAATTGACTCGCGACGCCGCGCCAACGGTCAATTATTTCTCGAGATAATATTATATTATTATCGGAAATAGCACCGCTGCGTTGTTCGACACATCGCCGTCACCGTCGTCGTTATTCGGAAAAAATAATTAATACCCACTAAAAATAGCTACGCAAAATCCAAATATACCAAAATTGATTAATGATTATAAATATTAAATACTTGTAGTATTTTAGTATTTATATTCAATGATACCAATGAAATCACGAGATCCTATTAAATATTTAATATTCACATATAATAGTCGAAACAGTGCATCGAAAACCGATGACATAATACACCCATAAAAATCCACATAACATTTGTCGACTATGTGGCACTCAACGTTTCAAAAAATATTTTTAAATTAAAAAATATTTATTTTATGATATTTTATACTACTTAATGGTTATGATAATTGACCCATGAAAAAGCCAAGGGGGGGAGATGCCCCTACTTGCCCCCCCCCCCCCTGCGGACGCCCTTGCCAGCCACCAGGAAATGTAGACAAACTAAGGTTTTCAATAATTTTTACTAAAATATTTCTTCTTTCTTCAATGTCAAATATTAAAATATCATCAGACTGGATCTGTTTTTGAAATCTTGAGTACACGTAACCGAGGTCTGTTATAAAGCACAATAATTTTAAAGTATTTAGGTTAGTCAGCATTCTATAAAAACCATCAGCTTTGGCATCTTTTTCTTCAATAAGTTTGCTTTTAAAAATTTGACTAAAATTTTCTAATTTTTTAGTACACTAAATAATAAATCATATGTGAATTCAGTCCAGCGGATTTCAAAATATTTTGGAAGATGTTTAACTGTAACATTTTCTTCTTCAGCAATTTTTTTAAGTTCTTTTGTCCTAACACCAGACTGGTGAAAGTATGTTGAAATTGAGGAACAAAGTTGTATAATGTTATACAATTCTATCACATTAGTAGTAAGTGACTCCCAAGCCAAAGCTGAACGATGAACTGTGCACCACATTTTTAAAAGAGGAAGCTTTACAGATTTTTCTTTTCTATTTTCCTCAAATAATGCCCATATTCCTGATTTTTGTCCAACATTAACACTTGCACCGTCAGTCACTAAATAGGATTTTATATTGAACATCTCTTTCCAGCCAAATAATTTATTGATTGCAGACCTGATTGCATTATAATGACATTGTGCTCCCCTTTGATTTGGTTCTTTAAATCCAATAAATACAAGTTAGTCGAAATGAGCAAAAATAATCGGCCAAAAATGATTACCGTTGAGGGGCGGTATCTGGAATACCACGACAAGAGCAAGTACAATCGCGCGCAACACATCATGAACCAGCTATTGAAAGCAAACTCAAAAGTTTATCCGAAACATCCGGAACATTAGTTGGTTTCTCTGCGTGAAGGATTACATCCACAAACCGAAATCGTTCTCAATGCCCTGTAGGTATATTCATTAATAGCAACTTTATGGACAAGATCAACGACGATCAACTAGCTATCATCATCGGCCACGAGATGGCCCACGTATTACTGCGCCATACTAACCGTATGTTGAGCAGGGCTACTAGTAGACAAATATACATAATATGTATACATATTATGTATTATATAAGCGTCATAATGTTCCTCGGTACGTGGACGTTCACATGTAAACTCGATGATGGTATATTCGCCGTTTGTTTTTTACACGTTGATTCATCTCATGCCTGCGATGTGCTTTCTATTACCATTCAAGAGGCGCATGGACACGAAGGCTGACAGAGTCGGTTTCATGATGGCCGCGTGAGCCTGCGTGGACATCACGTAAGGCCCAAAACTGTTTAACTCCTTGGCCGACAAAGAAGAACAGTCGTCCGTCAAACCCCATATATTGGGGTGGATGAATGATACTCACTTGTCACACCGGAGACGAGCGAAACAACTGAACCGACTGATGAACGAGGCTCGAAAACTGCAGAAATCAGTCAATTGCCACGATAACGGACAAACCGATCATGTACAGGATCGATAACCGCAAGTTAGTCGAAATTATATATCTAAACTAACCTTTTTATACTAATACATTAAAAGTGTTCAATAGGTTTGCCATCCCTGCTCTAGTACGTTTGCAAATGTTAATCCATAAACTGTTAATCCATATTCCAAGAATAATGAATTAGGTTAAACCTACGAGGCCTATCACTGGATATTGCCAAAACAACAAGTCCTATGACGTCAATGAGCAGTATAATATGATGGAAACGACCACAAATCAGATGAGTTCTAGTCACGGAACTGCAAGCAACTTCACGTTAGATGATCGAGTTGTACAATTTACCGACTACGTTTTCGAAAACTATAATATAGTATATAATATATATATAATATTATAATAATATATTATATTATAATATAATATATTATATCCTCAGATGCCATGTTTCCCCCAAATATTTGGTCACAGTTTTCTGCTAACTGTAACCAAAGAATGTCGATTTTCATGCTTACCAGGAGTGCTGTAAATTATTCTACTCTATTTTCATATTCTATTATAAATTTATTATTCTCGTAATAATTTTGATGGAGTAATGTCGTTTATCTTATTTACGTATAAATCTACAAATAAATACATTACATATTTCAGAATTTAATTACTATTTGTTTATTACATAAATATAAATTTTAAAATAATAACAAAATACACACCGTATCAATTCTGACAGTAGCTTTTTTTTTTTGTCAAAAACAAAGTTTAGTACAAATACATGAAAATAATTTTGCTAGAACCACAGAAAAGATTATAGCTATAACTATACAATATGGGGTACAGTAATTTTATAATTGAATGTCTAACCTAACCGATGATTCAATTTTGTATTACAATATTTGTGCAATTTTCACATGAATTAACATAAAATATTTTCAATTTAATTGTAAGCGCATTATTTAAAAACAATATTTTATTTATTTTGAAATGTTGTAGTATTTTGTAATTTGCATAATTTGTATCATATTACAATATTTTTAGAAGCATATTTTGTGGATTTTTACGCATTTAAATTCGTGCCCAAGTTATAAGTAAATATTGAATTGTTGTTTAACAATCGATTATATGCGTTTTCTTTATAATGCATTTCTCATTTAGAGACGTTAACTTTATGAGTTATGAACTACGTTACCGAAAATATGTATAAATTATAATTTGTACTTATTTTCGTTGTGACATGTCACTAGTAATGCATACGCAAGTGAAATAACAATATTATCCTAATTATCCCCACGCTTTGTTTAAGTAAGTTACAGAATGAGTGTGAATTTTGTCTTAAATACAAAACTCGGCGAAAAAAAAAATGTTTACTGTCACAGAAATTGTATTTGTTTAACGACCAAACATTCTCACGCGGCAATACTAATATCCACCGTACATTCTAAACCACTCCGTAGAAGTATGATCTAAGTTTCCTTTTACATTGTTGACTTGTACAGTATATGGAATTAATTTAGGCATTGATTTTTCAAAGTATTAACAAATGAACACTATTTTACTTTTATATCAATCCAAGCCATTACTGGTTCATCGTCGGTCACAGAAGCTTTGAATTTTTAAACTAAACTGAATATTGAGATATTTCATAGTACATATAGACTTGTAAGATAAACTTTTTCAAAGCAGTTAGATACTGATATCGGTACTATTTAAATACAATTTAAAACGCGTTCTTTAACACTCCATAGAACATAATGTATTCGAGTTCTAATTCAAGTACTAAAAGAAAGTATATAATTATAGTTATATTCAAACAAATGTTTAAAATATTTACCTGAGTTCTTACCAAATCGAGAACATCGAAAAAAGATTAAATGTTGTGTGTTCCCCTAGAGTCAAAACACAAAATTAAATTGTAATCCAGATATCAAGTATCTTTAGGAAATATTAGTGTGAACTATTATATTTTTCGTTGATTATAATTCACAGTTTTAAGAAAACGTCATTTAGATTGATTACGTCAAATGCAAACACCGCAGAAAGTATTTGAAATATTATTTTCAAATAATCATATTTAAAATATACGTGTTTGAAATTTGAATAATATTTAACAACCATCAAA